GCGAAGGTCCAGGTCGCCGCGCCGCTGTCGCCGTCGAGGCACCGCACGTCGAACAGCCCGCAGACGACGTAGCAGCCGCGGCCGACGAGCGCCGGCGTGCCCTCGCCGACGCCCATGTCGAGGCTCGCGTTCCAACGGACGCTGCCGTCGGCGCCGTCGAGGGCGTAGACCGTGCCGTCGTAGGAGCCCACGACGACCGTGGCGCCCCGCGGGCTCACGGCCGGCGACGCGTCGGTGCCGCTAAAGTTGGGGACCCAGCAGCCGGGGCCCCAGCGGTGGCAGCCGACGGCGCTGCGCCAGAGGAGCGTGCCGTTGGGCGACGCGGCGCCCGCGAGCGAGGCCAGCGCGGCGACGCCGGGGCTGCCCAGCATGAGCGCGAGCGAGGCCAGCGCGATGGGGCTGCCCATCGTCGATGGATTCGATCGGAAGCCCGCGGCACCTTGCAGGGCAACGCGATCGCCCAAATTTAAAAAACCTCAGAAGAAGCGGCTCGGGGCCTGCTTGGCGCCGGCCTGGGAGCCGCGGCGCTGGGCGCCGCGGTTCGGCGCGGCCTGCTCCGCCTCGGCCTTGAGCTGGGCCTCGAGGGCCTCGTCGTAGAGGACCGAGAAGCCGCCCGCGTCCTCGCAGGGGCCGAGCGTGAACGCGCCGCGGTAGTTCGTGATGTCCTTGGGCAGGACGACGTCCAGCACGTCGCGGATGAGGGCCATCTTCATGACGCGGTCGCTGTGCGTCGTCGTCGACAGCGACGGCGACGCGTTGACCTCGACGAGCCACGGCTTGAGGTGCGCCTGCGTGCCAATCAAATCTTCAACCCGACTTCAATGTGTATTCGAATGTTTCGACACGAGCTCTTCGGCTGTGCTTCGAGAACTCGACGAGAGAAATCGACCCGTCCAACAATCAGCCGAATCGACTTCGATGTGACCGAGCGAGAGAATTTCAAAGTTTGGCCGGGACGTCCCGAACCGGCGGTCGATTCGCACACGGAGGCGCGCGTCGATCAGAATGTCGTAGCCGTAGCACTCGAAGCAGTGGCGGTCGTTGATGATGGACCCCTGGACGGCCTTCAACGAGTGGATGATGATGCGGTCGATGTCGTCGAAGAGCTTCGCGGACGCCTCGCGGCCCCACGTCGCCTCGACGAAGAGGCGGACGTGCTGCAGGTTCCACTTGCCGCCGTGCTTGACGTTGTAGTCGTCGTTGTGCTTCTGGATGGCGACGTTCGTCAGGTGGATGAAGGGGTTGTTGAGCTCGCCCGCCTGGCTGCTGTACTTGACGTTGCAGAACCGCGCGAAGCCCGCGTCGTACTGGTAGACCTGCGCGGCAAATAAAACTTCAAGATGACGTCAATGTGAGCCGTTGCGACGCGCGCTTTCGCCGCGCGTCGAGCGCTCGACGAGAGCCATCGAATCGTCCAAGAATCAGCCGCATCGATCGGACCGAGCGATTCGTGCCGCGCCGCGGCGGACGCGGAGGGGCCGGTAGGACGTCACGAGCACGTAGAGCCGCAGGTCGAACTTCTTGCCGCCGATGAGCATGGGGTCCTCGATGTAGCGCGAGATCACGTAGGCCTCCTTGAGCGGCATGTTCGCCCAGCGGCCGTTGCTCCAGCGCTTGATCTGCGAGAGCTTGTTGATGATGAAGATGCCGCGGCCCTGGGCGGCGTTGGCGGGCTTCATGATCCACATGGCGTTGGGGCAGCGCCGGAACTCCTCGACGAAGAGGCTGTAGTCCGCGGGGAGCATGTACGTCACGGGCACGAAGTCCGGCGGCAGATCGGCCGTCGCGTCGCGCGACGCGTCGCGGAGGTAGCGCTTGATGTTCTTCACCATGAGGTCCTTGCGCGTGAGCTCGTAGTGGTTCGGGTAGTGGTTGATGAGCTGCGCGTCGCCGAGGCGCTGCCCGCTCTCCGGGTGGAAGATGCCCTTGACCGTCGCCGCGTTGGCCCAGTAGATGTTCCAGTCCTCGTTCTCCGTCCGCGTCCCGCAGCGCCGCGTGAAGTTCTGCGTGATCACGGCGACCTCGCTGTCCGTCTTCCACTTCATGGTCTCGCGCGCGGCTCAGGCCGGCGCCATCACCGCGTGGGCAGCCCAGCCGCTCCGCGTTTTGAAGGCGTTTGCGCCAACGTGCCTTCAACGACGAGGCCAACCTTCGAAGGACCGGGTACAAAACGCGCCTCGCGCGGGGAGGGGCTTCGCCGCGGGGCGGCGGCCGCGCGGGGGGGAGGGGGGCGCCTAGAAGCGCCACGGGGAGCCCGCGGCCTTGGGCCAGCCGAACTCGTCCTTGGTCTCCGTGCCGTAGCGCGCGGAGCTCGACGTCGCCGGGTAGCGCGTGTTCTCGAGGATGGGCGACGGCCGCGCGAAGTGGCGCGTGACGAGGGGCGACCCGCCGCCGCCGGCGAGCCGCGACACGGCCTTCTTCTGCTTGCGGACGACTTCGTCGCGCTTCTTCGCGAACTGGCGCCGCACGGGCGCCGCGCCGATGGCGCCGCTGCGGTTGATGACGAGGAAGCGCGGGCCGGACGGCGGCGGCGGCGCCGCCGCGGCCCCGCGGGGCCGCCGCGCCGCCGGCTTCTTCTTCTTCTCCGCCCCGAGCCGCTTCGGCCGCGGCCGCTCCGCGCGCTTCTTGAGCTCGACCTCGATGGCCGGCTTGTAGTCGTCGTCGCCCACGAGCACGTAGTCGTCGTCGTCGCTCTTCGCCGGCGCGTCGAGCGGCGGCGGCGGCGGCAGCGGCGGCGCCGCGGGCTAGCAGCGCTCGTCGTCGCTCGGCTCCGGCGGCGGCGGCGCCGCCAGGTCCTCGACGGCGGCGTCGGGCGCCCAGGTGCCGCCCCAGGCGAAGGGCGGCTCCACCGCGGCCCGCGGCGGCGTCTTCTCCGCGCGCGCGGGGTCGAGGAGCAGGTCGCGCATCGAGCCCCTTAAACCGTCGGCGCCGCGGCCGGGCGGCGGCCGCTTGCCCGGCCGCTCGGCGTGCTCGGGCGTCGGCGCGGGCCGCGGCGGCGCCGCCACGGGCGCCGGCGCCTCCCAGACGAAGTAGCGCGGGCTCGGCTGGCTCGCGTGGCGCGGGCCGCCGGCGGCGATGAGGCGGCCGTCGGCGCCGACGAAGTTGTGCCGGTCCTCCTCGAAGGCCAGCCGCGCGGCCTCGAGGGACGCGTGCGTCCGCAGGACCATCGTCCGCGGAGTTGGCAGCGGTCGGTCGCGCTGAAACAGTGCGCGCAGCTCTCGATCAAACAGTTGTGCAAGCTTTGAATGGCGTTCGGCATCGATCGCGGCGCCGTCAGCCTCATCGACGGCCGCAACGCGGGGCCCGCGGGGCAGCCTCGGGATGGCCGCCTCGGACGATGCCCAGCGGGCAGCCTCCAGCATCGCCGTCGCCATGCTCGAGCGGCAGTTCGCGCCACGGCGTCCGTCGCCGACGAGCCTGAGCTCCGGGCGTCGCGGTCGGCGCCGCGGGAACGCCACCGCGACGGTCGCGATCATCCTCCCACTGGGCCAGGCTCGACGACGCTACCCCGCCGACGGCACCGGTGACGAACGCGCCTTAGTCCACGGCGCGCGGCGCGCCGGCCTCGACGACGACGGCGTCGACCTGGAGGCAGGGGCACGCGCGCGGGCCGTCGAGGACCGCGGCGAGGACCGGCGACACGGCGGCGGCGCAGCGCGTCGGCATGGCGGGGCGGAGCGCGACGCGGCGCGCGGGGCCGAGGCGGAGCGGGTAGCGGAGGAGCGGCGCGGCGGCGTCGAGGCGCCCGGAGAAGCTCGGCAGCGACGCGCGGGCCCCGTCGCCGGGCGGCGGTGCCCCGCGCCAGCCGTCCCAGCCCGCGACCGCGACGTTTCCGTCGGCCTCGAAGGCGAAGCCGCGGCCGGCGGGCTCCGGCGGCGCGGGCCGCCGGAGCTCCTCGGACGTCGCCGCGCCCGGCCCCGCGGCGCCGAGGGCCGCCTTGAGCGCCGCCGCCGCGGCCTCGCCGACCGCGCGCGACGTCGCCGCGAAGGCCCGCAGCTCCCGGCGCCACGCGTCCGCGTCGCGCCCGTCGGACGCGGCGAACGCGATGGAGCCCAGCACCGTCGGCAGGCCGTAGATCTCCCGGCCGCCGGCGGCGGCCTCGGGCGTCGTGACGACGACGTGCGACGCCCAGGCGCCCACGGCGCCGCCGCGCGCGACGAGGCCCGACAGCACGGCGACCTCGCGGTAGGGCCCCACGGGCGACTCGCGCCAGTCGACGACGAAGACGCCGCCCAGCGTCCAGCCGAAGAGCGAGAGCAGCGCGACGCCGTCGCGCGGCGTCGCCGCGCGCGCCGCGGCCGCGCGCACGAACGTCGGCTGGTAGAGCACGCGCGCGTCGCCGAAGCGCCACGGCGCCGGCGGCGGCGCCCAGGCGTGCGCGCAGGCGAGCAGGGCGGCGAGCCGCGCGCGCATCGTGAGCTCGTCGCGAGCGAGATTACAGGCAGTGGTAAAAAACTCCGCGGCGCGAGCGAGATTAGAGGCAAGCGTCCGGAACGGCAGTCACGGAGGTGGCTTCACGAGAGCCGGTCGCAAAACCAGCGCCAGCCATAGCCCACTGCACCCCAGCGGCTCGACGAGTGCTCGACCGACCTCGAGCCCAAACCCCGGACGAAATCCAATGCCGCTGAGATACAGCTCACAGCCAAAACGCGCTCGTCCGGAATCCGGACCAGAATGCGGGGTAAATTTTGACCTTTGGCTCCGAGCCACCAAACTTTTGGAAACCTGAAAACCTCATCATTGCTACGAGCTGCGCCACAGCCTGATTGCGCTCCGTCAGGGGTTGGACGATGGACGACGGCGCCCAGCGGGCAGCCTCCGACATCGCCGTCGCCGTGCTCGAGCGGCAGCTCGCGTCCGTCGTCGACGAGCTCCGGGCGTCGCGGGCGCGCGAGGCGGCGCTGGCGAGCGCCGCCGACGCGGCGGACGAGCGCGTCGCGTCGGAGGCGCGCGCCGTCGCGGCGCGCTACGAGTCCGCGCTCCGGGAGCTCGCGGGCGAGAACGCGGAGCTCGCGACGGAGCTGCGCCGCGCCGTGCGCGAGGTCGAGAAGCTCCCGGCGCGCCGA